TTTAAAAGAGAGGTTTTCTTTCATCAGCCAATGTTAAAGAACTCTGGTATGTAGTATGACTAAAATTTTTGTCCATCTTACCGCAGGAAGTGTGAAATGAAAATTTAATGCTATGGAAACTTAAAGCTGGAAATCTGCTTGAGTAACTTTTGTTATTCTGAATGAGTGGCCTGAGCTGTTGAAACCCGCTGAAATGTGCTGGAAGCAGTGGTCTGTAGACGTAGATGTTACAGAAGCTTCACAATGTTGCGAAATTTTGGAGTTTTCAAAATAAGAGTTGCTACATGAAGTACGCGCTCCGACCTTAATTTATGAAACGTTTTATCTCACATGGAAAGTCAGTTTGTCGAGCAGCATTAAGTTCTGAATCGATATATTTTCCAACATAGATCTCTTAAATTCGGGTATAAGGAGTTGAGCTGATAAATTTTGTATGTTCCAGTTTTAGAATACTTCAGTATAATTTCATATGATTTTAGCAGCAGCACTGGATATTTCCACTAAAGAGGTGATTGGTGTGGCACCCCGCGAAATATGGGAAATGCTACGAGAACGACATAGCACCCGAGCTATTACGATATGTGATGCCCGTCAGTTGTTAACGGTAATTCGTGCGCTTTTCTTCCTGGCTTGTACCGCTGGAGAAGCTCACATAACCTTTTGGAAAGGTCGATTTTTTCTTGTTTGTGGTTTGCTCGTTATTCAAACTTTGTTGTTGTTCTAGAGTGGACCTCTTCCATAATCACAGCACAGGATGTAATAGCTGCCTTAGCAAAGCACAAAGCTGATCAAGATCAGGAAACTATCCCCGAAACCCTTGCTGATGAAGCCATAGATCAGGAGTTTAGGGTATGTTCTATAGGTAGCAGTGAATCTGAGATAGATATATTTAAGAGTCATGAGTAAGAGTATATCCATGCATCTGGAAAGAAATGAACTATAAGTCTATATTGTAACAGGAAATGACGATTGGATTAATCTTAAAATTGGATTGCACTGTTATTCTTACGCTTAAGGTGTAGCTTGTTTGGGTGTGTTGAAGAAGTGCATCAGCAAATGAATATAGGTTTATTTTCGTCAATTCCTTCGTGCACAACGAAACATCAGTCAGCATTGTTGATATAGGAGAAAGAGCAAGTAGTTTTTTTT